TACTAGAGAGGAAGGAACGAAGACATAAGATTCTGTTGAAGGACTGGAAATGCAAAATGCACAACATATGAAATGCAATGCAAATGATATGCAAGATGCAATGCAAGATACAAGATCCAGGATCACAGGATCACAATAAAACAATTTTGGAGCTGATAACTGTAACAGATACACAACCACAATTTCCAATCAAAAAACTGACAGGTACAACCTATACGGGAAGATTTAAACATTCTACCCATAAACCCACTTATGGGATGGTTTCTACGTTTGGTTTCCAGGATCACGGACACTAGTCGTATTAGCGTCACGCAACAGGCTGGCTGTATTACGACGATAATGACGATAAGGTCTCTCCTGAGCGGGGTCCTCATGCTAGGCGCACAAGGAGCGAGTCCTTGGAGACTAACACTACACGACCACCAATATTGGAACTGGTGCTAACAAAAGGTTCCCAGAATCACGGACCCTTCATTAATCAAGTCGTGCAACAGGCTAGCTGTGTTACAACAAGATCTACGAATAGGTCTCCTCTGGAGGAGCTTTCATGCTAGGCCCACAAGGAGCGAGTCCTCGGAGACTAACACTACTCGACTACCAATTCTAAACCACGTGTTCTCTCTGCTTTTACCAAAGCTCGGGTGTAGAGTTTTACTCATGATGTCATCCCAAGAACCAACAGGCAACCAAGATAACAAGCACAAATAAAATCCACAAGAGAACAAATACATAAACAAGAAGAAAACAAATAAAAAACAAACACTCCTCACAAACCAAAAGATAGGCTCGACTCTCTCTTTGCATGGAGCAAAATTTCCCCAGCAGAGTCGCCAGCTGTCGCACCTCGAAAAATCACGGAGACATTTCGGAGAAACGACCCTCGCGCGAAAGGCGCGGAAATGCGGTTCGACAGAGTCGCCACCGAACTTTATTTTTCCCGAATAAACGGGAGAGGAAAATATCGAAAAAACCTCTTAAAACGAAAGGATAGGAATAAGGTTGTCGCAACCATGTTCTGGGTTCGGGAGTCGGTTACGCGAGGGGAAGGTATTAGCACCCCTCACGTCTGTCGTACTCGACGGGAACCTCTTAAGGTATTTGTGGAGAGTGTTGTCTAGGTTTACTTGTTTTTCTTCTCGATGATAAAGGTAGAATTGGTAGGGTAAAAGGTTTAAGACGCTAAGGGCAGATGGGTGGTTAGAGGATAGAGTGCTCGCCAAGGATTGGGGCCCTTGTGCCTACGTATGCTCATTCGGACGAGAATGAGAAATCAGAGTTTTGTAGTTCGACTACGGGAAAAGATGGGAAAGTGTGGACGAAATAATGGAGAAAGGTATTAGTGTGCTCGCCAAGATCATTGCAATCTTGTGCCTACGTATCTTACATTCAAAAATGAATGAAGAATGAGAGCGTCTGTAGTTCGTGGTAACAACCACGAAAAGATGAGGGTCGAAAAGGTTTGAAGTTTGAGTTTGAGACGAAAGAGTGACTGACGAGCAACCCAAGAGCGTGCCTCAAGAGCTTGTCATTCAAGAATTCAAGGAATGCGAGATCCAAAGAATTCAATTCTTTCGGAAATTGGATTGAAAAGAGTTGGATGTTTCAAAATCGAAAGAATGAACTAATAACGACTCAAGAGCGTGTCTCGAGAGTTATTCGTTTGAACATTCAAAGAATGCTAGATTCTAAGAATATCCCTCTTTCGTAAATCTAAAAAAACGTATTCGTAAAGAGATTGAATCGAAAACGGAATGTGAGGCAAAAAGGAAGTTATTTTGAAATGGCTCAACGACGTGTCGAGGATTTTGATTGAAGATGGAACCGACTTGACGACGTGTCAAGGGTTAAGATTGTGAGAAATGATATTGGTCCCTAAGGGTGCCTCCAATATCAAAACCACGAGGAGTTGTGAACGCGTGTACGAAATGTGGGTTGCGAATGCGTACGAGCATTCGACTTAGGAGAACGTTGGAAAATGATTGAGTTTGAAAAAATCGAAAGGTTGAGTGGATAACAACTCAAAGGGCGTGTCTCGAGAACTATTCACTCGAAAATTCAAGGAATGCTAGATTCCAAGAATCTCCTTCTTTCGGAGTTTTAATCGAAAAAGATGTTGAGAAAGTGTTTGAGAAAATCAAAAAATTGAGTGAATAACAACTCAAGAGCGTGCCTCAAGAATTATTCACTCGAAGATCCAAGGAATGCTAGATTCCAAGAATCTCCTTATTTCGGAATTTGAATTGAGAAAATGTTTTGAAAATGATTTGAAGCGAAATGGGGTATGAAAATGATTTGTGAATATGTGAGGAGAATACGAAATTGAATTTGAAAAATAATTTAAGAGAAGTGATAATTATTTGATAAATAAGACGTCGGCCTTACAACCAAATAATCGGAGTATTATCAAGATGCTAGATCTCGATAACACCATTTTTATTAGAAAATGTTTGGATGGACAAAGGAAATATCACACGGAATGCTAGATTCTTATGATATTTTTTTACTAGAAATAGGGTATTTTTAAAAATGAGAAGTCGAATAATACACTATTTAAGGTGTACACCTCAATAATGATTGTCCAAAAATTCAAGAAGTGCTAGACTTCAAGGATTTAGTTTCTCATGATTTAATTTAAGAAATTATTTTAGTAGTTAAAAATAAATTTGAATAAAAGACTAGAAAGATATTAGTTTTGAAAAATGAGTTTGCAAAGAAAATATTTTAGTCATATAAATAAACTTAGATAAAGACTAGAAAAAAAAACAATTTTGAAAATGAGTTTGAAAAAATATATTAAATATATATTATATTATAATATATAAAATATGTGTAAAATAAATTGCAAAAATAATAAAACAGAGGGGTGTGGTAGCAGCCAGGCAAGTGTGGTTAACAAATTCTATTGGGCTTGGTTTTAAGGCCTAACAAAAATACAACAGCCAGCAGAGGGGGGGGGGTGTACGAAAAACGGAAGGTGCAAAGATTGAGAATAGAGACAGCTGGGCCCTTCGGCCCAATAACCCAACGAGATGACCCATGTACACTTTTTCTTCTTCCTTAATTTTGTTTGCTCAGAAACCCTAGCTACTGTTCACGCCGTCACTCCCACCCATTCCATCTGCTCCATTTTCTTTCCATCTCTCTTCTCCTCATCTTACTCCGACATCATCATCACCTGTAAAACCAAATGAACAGAAGCAAAACAAAAACAAAAAAACCAGACGAACACACATGGACATTGAAGGAAGCTGATGTTGAAACGTTCGTGGTGTTGGGAGGAAAACAGAGGCGTTGAGTTGCGGTGGAGTCGTTTGCGAAGTCATCAATGGATGAAGGTGATAGTTTGTGCGTTCAGATCGTGACTTGAAGATGGGGTGAGTATAGATCTATGGTGTGAAGAGCGGAAAAAAAAACATTTGGGCGAGGTTGTTGCGGCTGATGATGTTGAAGATTAAGAAGAATCAGTGAGGTGTTCGTGTTGTTAGGATGATGGATTGGATGGAGATCTAGAACAAATATGAAAATGACGAGGAGCAACCAGAGATTTGCTCATGATGATAGTTCGGACGAAGGTAAGTGGCGAAATCCGGAAATGATGGTTGAGTTTTTTGATTGGAAGTTTTGAGTTCAGATCTAGATATGTTGTTGTTCGTAGGTGAATGTTCGATGAATATTGGAGTGTGGTTTGAAGTAGATCTAGATTCATTGACGAAGATGGAGATTCACTGGTGTTGGAAATTTTATGAAGGTGTGATGAATGATGAACATCGGATAAAGGTTGATGAAGATGGAAGAAAATATCTGGAAAAATGTTATATGAACAATGATGAACATCTGGAAAATGGTATGAAGATGGATGAGTTTATGAGGATTTCTGGAAAATGTTATGAACACAGATGAAGTTGTGAAGATTATCTGGAAAAAAAACGTTGAAGGTTGAATGTGTGTTCATGGAAAATCTGGAAAAGGTGATGAACACAATGAAGTTTTCGGGAAAATGGTTGAAGGTTCCGGCGAATTTCCGGTGTAATTTTGGCCGTTTGATTTTGCCGGTGATAGGGAATTGGTGTTTGCATGTGAGTGAGGTGAGGTGGCGCCGTTAGGGTTAGGGTTGGAATTAGGTTTAGGGTTTGGGAAGGTGAGGTGGCGGCTGTAGGGTTAGGGTGTCAGCCCTTGGAAAGTGTGTCTGTCTTTAAAGGAAGACACTAGGCTTTATAGCCTGCTGACAAGTGGCAAAATCTGACCTAATGGGCCTGCATAAATGACTAATGGACCAGAAAAAAAATCTCATTAAAATCTGTTTAATTAAAGATGAATTACAAAGGAAATTGAATTAAAGTAACATAAACATCACGTTAATACTTAAAAAATTAAAGCCTAATAAATATTAACTAACTAATGAGATTAAAAACCTAATTAAACTAAAATAAATCTGAATAAATAAATAAATAAAAAAGAAGATGATTAATATTAATGATAAGATAATAAATAAATGAATAAAACTAAACTTTAAATACTCTAATTAGATCTAAAATCTTAATAAATATTAATCTTAAATTTAAATAAATAATAATAAATAAAAACTTTAACAACAAGGAAGTCTAATTTAAAAAAAACTCAATGAACTATATTTTAAAAAGACAAATAACATTCTACTCTAATTAAATAAAAGCAAATTAACTCTAATATTAACTCTATTAGTAATAAAATAAATAAAATGACAAAAATAAAAAAGAATAAAAGGATAATATTTGCAAGAAAAGAAAAAATGAAAATGGAAGCTAAATTGATCAAAATGCCCCTCAGGCCACGTGTCACACTTTTATTGGACAAAAATGGATAAAATTTGAAAAAAAACACCCGATTTCAGGTGGACACGTGTCTAAACGGCATGAAACCAAAATGTGAAAATATTTACAAAAAAGGGTAGGACAAATTTAGGGTATGACAATATACACACACACCCCGCTTAAACTCAAATAATAATGACAAAAATAGTATCATATAGAATGAAATGGAACTAATGTTGATGTTGGGAAGCATATAAGGGGTTGAGCCCTTGAAAGAATAAATGAAGGACCCTCTTTCATGTCAACACAAGCATTCCCTCCATTTTCATTCTTCCATTTAAAGCAATGAATCATATTTGCCAGAGTGGTGTGAGCCACATTTAGTGCTAAAGACGTTCCAGGACACATTCTTCTTCCACTTCCAAAAGGTAAAAGCTCATAACATTGTCCCTTAACTTCAACAACATTACTCTCTTTTCCATTATTAATAAACCTTTCTGGCTTAAATTCAAGAGGGTTATCCCAATTCTTTGGATCTCTTCCAATGGCCCACACATTAGTGAATATCTGAGTTTTTGTTGGGATATCATATCCAGATATTATGCACTTTTCCGTTGACTCTCTCAATATAAATGGAGATGGAGGGTGAAGTCTTAATGTTTCCTTAACTATGGCTTGGAGATAAGGAAGATAAGATATATCTGATTCAGTTACTATTTTATCCTTTCTAATCATTGTGTCAATCTCTTTCCTTGCTTTCTCCATTACTGTTGGATGGTTAATTAGTTCTGCCAATGACCATTCAAGAGTAACCGCAGTTGTATCTGTCCCACCTGTAAACATGTCCTGAAAAATTATAAGTTAGAATCAATTTAAACCTTTTTCTATGAACTATCATATCATAATAGTAGGATTTTCATAAATTATAATATCATATCATAATAGTAGGATTTTCATAAATTATAATAGTCAAGATTTTAAATAATGGTCTTGGTCGGTATAAACGCCTTCGTAATTTTGTGAATTAACTACAACAAATTTATTGTTTATCATAAAAACAGTAAATAGTACCTTGTGCCGGTTTTGAAACCGCTTTTCAAAACATTGATAATAGTGATTAGAGAAAAAAAATTTATTACCACCAAGAAGGCTTTGATGTTATCTCTAGTTATTTTGACTTCAGAGCTTGGATCTTCATAAATACTCAAAAGAGCATCTAATACATCTTTTACTCCCTCTTTTCTTTTTGATTTACTTCTACCATCTTCATGCTCTTTGACAATAGTTTCCATCATGGTATCAAACCTATCATGAACATCCTTTAACCTCTTCTTAATTCCCTGAATATCAAATCTCTTACAAAACCAAAAATAATCAGCAAGGTTAAACATTCCACTCAACATAGCAGATTCTCTCACTCTTTCAGTCACTTTGTAAGCTTCGTCATCTTCTTTAAAACAGCTTTTTCCTATTGCCATTTTCATTACTATACTATTTGTCAGTTTCAAAAGCTCATCAGTAAGATTCACAGACTCATTTATTTCTGCTTTTTTCGTTATCATCTGCAAAAATCTGTTGATCTCTTCTTGCCTTATGGGAAAGAGTTGATCAAGCATCTTTCCATTGAGAAGCTCTGACATGCAAAGCTTCTTCATGAACTTCCAGTAGGTTCCATAAGGTGCAAATGCTAAATCAGAAGCATTGTAAGTTAGATAGTTGATGGCAATATTTGAAGGCCGGTTCGAGAACAAGGATTCATTGGTTTTGAATATTTCTTTTGCTATTTCTGATGAGAAAACAAATATCATGGGAGTGGATCCGAGGTATATTTGAATGATGGGTCCATAACGGTTTGAGAGATTATGAGTTGCTCTATGAAGAGGTTGTTTTAGTAGTAAGTGGAAGTGTCCAATTATTGGTAAGGATAATGGACTAGGGGGTAGGTGGAGCTTTGATTTGGTGAATATGGCTTTGAGGAATATTGTGGAGGCTAGTAAAATTAACAAGATTGGTATGTATTGTTGAATAATCTCCATTTTTGTTTGTCTATGTTTTGGATGCAGGATATATATTTGCTTCAAAGAGGACTATTTATAGAACGTGAGTTAGTTTTTGGTTACAGTCTATTGCTATGTGGAAAGCATTATGTGAAATAACATAATGTTAGAGTTGAGACAGACACTATATATTGTCTTTTTGTGATTTATCGTGATTAAACTGTGTTAAAATAGGATCTCAAAATATATATATTACAGTTAAATTATGACCTAATATAATTTATATTTGTTTTGTTATATTTGAAGTATAACTCATCTTCACATACCTAAAATAAATTAAGACGGTCCGGCTTGTGTTTCACATGATGTGTGCATATAAAATAAATTAATGCTGGAAGGTTCCAAAACTAGCTACGTTGATGGAGGTTCTATTACAACTTTTTATTTGCAAGAATCTCTGAACTGCTGTCTTAGAGGTTCTATAGAAACTTTTATATAAATTATGTTGGGGTTTGTTTGAGTCCCCCAAAATATTCGAATATGCTTGGCCCTTGCATCACCTCACTGTTATTATATACATACATAGCTATCTATCTATTACTTTCAATTGTCGTTGAATATTCGGTTTTGCCTACAAGCAATTAATCATTATGCCTTTAAATTATGGTTATCTCATTTGATTTGGATTGTTTGCTTTTAATATTTGGAAGTTACCATGTTGTACTAGAATCTTTTTTTTCTTCTTAAAATTGGATATTTTTATCAATAACTTATATTCAATATAGTTTGGGTTAACATAGGAAAATGTGTTTTCTTGAGATAGATTTTGAGAGATATCGCGGAGGTGATAAAAGCGAAAATTTAGAAATAAAGTTTGGAGTGGTTAAATTTCTTCTCGCAAGAGTAGAGAATATATTCTATTTCCTTTAAGATTATATTTCTCCCTCTTTATATAATAAAAATTGTGGAAAAAAGTTCTAGAACATAATGAAAAATATGCAAGCACATAAATCAATTACCATAAAACAAATATTACTTCATGAAGTAATCAACATGAGTGCAAGGGAAGGAAACAACTTGGAGCATAAATAAAAAGAGGAAAGATAAAAGCAACTAAGGAAAGTAACAAGCAAACACTAATCTACCTTTCCATCATCTTCGTTGAACCTGTTAGGATATCCAGTTTTGGTTTCAAAGAGCTTGCTAGCAAGATGATGAACTCTTGAATTATTTCTCCTTCGCATTCTCATTTGTTCTTGTTGATCATGGAGAATGACGTGGTGATTCTTGAGATCATGTTGAGGATAGCATCGGTGGAAAAGATGTGAGGGATTTTATAATCAAAATCCTTGACATTTTCATTCTTTACTTGCTAAGCTTCTTTATGGTTTTAGAGGTAGCTGATCTGGTACTCAATTGATGATTTTTACCCTCGTCAAACTTAAGGTGATTTGTCGTATTCTTGTGTATTTATTATATGATTCTTCCTCCACTAAATCAAAGCCAATATGTTATAGGACTTTCGTGATAAGTTGATTACATGGTAAAATCATATTTTTCTTTTTTCTCTTCGTCATATGATGGATCACCACACTAGTCCAATTTCTTTTCAGCTCTATTTTCCAAAAACCACAACACAACTATGTCGACTTTGGTTAAGTGAATGTAGTTTCTTTTCCTTGTAAAAAAATAGATGTTGACAACATAGTGAGTCAGACAAATGACCAGACACACTATGCCAATAGTGAAGGGAGTAGGAATGTCAGAGTTTGAATATAACAGGAATAAGTTAAAATCAGCCAAAAAGTTAAAACCGTTACCTTACTCATCGTCATTATAGTTTGATCAATGTATTAGAGGTTGTATACGTGTGTGAACTCTTCAAGAGATAAACAGATCCAGTGTTTTTTTACTTCAGAAGTAAGAACTTCATTTACGTACTTGAGGTTTAAGTAAAACTTTTTCACCAACATAAGAAACCTTTCATTTGGGATGTCACAGATGAAGATTTTCAACTGGGCATCGTAGAAATCTTGGTGGAAGGTACAATATTTAAAAATTGTTTCTTCCAATTATTGTGAATCAAGAAGCTCCCTCAAATTAAAGTGTTGGTTGAACTAATTTTCTTGATCTTGGGAAGAAAATAATTTTGAGTAATTTGAGGTTGAGCCTCCGGATGTTCGAGATCTCTTTAGTTCCATTGATGATGGTGAAGAGAAAGAGATGATTTTTGTTCCCTAACACTTAAATAAACACACAAGAGAAGAAAGTAGGATCAGATGAGAAGAAAGAAGTGGAATGCCTTTAAATAGCCAAAAAATAATCGATTAATAGAGCCTAATAATCGATTACTTATTTAATGCAGTCGATTGGTGTCATACCCTAAATGTTACCCTAAGTTTTTCAATTTATTTTCATCAAGTTATTTTCATGTCATCATCAAGTTCAATAAAATTCAAGTTTAAACATTATTTATTACTTCCATTTATTCATTCATGCACTACCTTACAAACTAAATTTAAACAAGAATTGAAACAAAGAATCTGAAATTAAAAATGAAATAATAATAAATGCTCTATTGATAAAAAATCATACATTGTTCTACATCAAAATTTATAGCTATTTATTTTACACATGGAGGGGCCATACAAAACAAGTCATGGTTTATGTAATTCCCTCAATTTCCCACAATCTCAACAACAATTTACAATGGTATAATTACATGGTTACAAAAAATTCACACCCTCCCTCACCCCATATGATTGCACACGATTAGCATCTCAAATCTCAACAAAAAAAAGAAAAATAATCTTCATTCCTCGCCTTGCATAACAGAATTTCATCCTCACTCTTCACTCAATGTCATTCACTCGCATCGCACCATCAAAACCTCACAAAAAATATCTGACACATGATTCCTCACCCTTCAACTCTCACGATTATACCCTAAATTTAATCCATATATAAACTCACAAATTCTACCTAATTGAAAAGAAAAAAGGAGAAACCTTGAGTAAACTCCATAATCTTGATCAAAATCTGAGACCATGCAATTTCTTCCAACCCTCACTAAAAACTCCTTCCATAGTTGTTAGAGTCTCACACTAAAGGCATACCTAGTTAGAGTTAAGCTTCCTTCAGCATACCTCGACCCTCAAGCTAACACACCAAACCAAGTTGGTGACAAAAAGAAAAATAGAAGAATGATAAGGAGTCTGAGTTGAACAAAGAAGGAGAAGAAGACAAAAAAAAAGAGAAGGAAATGAGTAAGCAATAATACCTGGAGAAACTCAAACCTAACTGAGATTTTTCTTCTTCTCTCGGTTTGATACTCTATCAGCTTGTTTTTGTTGTTTTTTTACTGTTTATATATTGTAGCGTGCTTAAATCCCCCCTTTTAATAATTTCATTGTATTGTAATTACTTTGACCGAATAATGAAAAGGGGTTTAGGGTTTTTGCAGTTTGAGGGTAGATCTGTATGATTATCTGGTCTTTAGGTTGTTCGGATGTTCAATTCATGTTCAGGAGATGATTTAGGGGGGGGTGTTAAAAAGTTTTGGATTTCAAATTTTTTAGGCATTTATGGAAAAACTCGTCAAGAACATTCTTGGTGTTATTGAAAAGATTTATCTTGTTCTTGAGGAAAGAGGTGGTTTGATCCTCTTTTTTGTTTAAAACATGTTTGTTATATATTTGAAGAGAGAGAGAGAGAGAGAGAGAGAGAGAGAGAGAGAGAGAGAGAGAGAGAGAGAGAGAGAGAGAGAGAGAGAGAGAGAGAGAGAGAGAGAGAGAGAGAGAGAGAGAGAGAGAGAGAGAGAGAGAGAGAGAGAGAGAGAGAGAGAGAGAGAGAGAGAGAGAGAGAGAGTTATGAAATGAGGTGGAACGGTTCTCTCACTAATGCAAAAATGAGAATAGAATTTGAGAATTTACACCTGTTTTCTAAAAATGAGAGTAAAAACAAATATGTTGGCGATATTATAAATAAAATCTCATTTTAAGTTTTAACATATAACAATAAACACCATATTTAAAAATAAAAAAACGAGTGTGAAATTCAAAGATTATTTATCATCAAATATATATTACTTCCATTATATTAAAAGAAAGTGTAAATTCTAAAATCGATTTACAAATATATTGTAGCGGTAAAATTGTGAGTGTAAGCTATTGATTAACTTAACTTAAAAAATGCAAGAGTCGCCACTGCACTTTTATTTTATCCAAAAAAGGAAAGGAAAAAAGAGCGAACAAAACCAAAGAGTTCTAATACAAGAACAAATAAATAGAGATCTGGGTAAGGGGGTTGGTTACGTACTGGGAAGGTGTTAGCATCCAAAACGTTTATAGTATTCTATAGGAGCCCTTTGAAATATTTACGCTTTTTGGTTTGAAAAATGTTAGTTTGAAAGAAGATTAGGGAGATGAGAAGAGAACTATTTTTTTTAGATTTTTTGTGTTTGGAGAGACTTATCGCCTCATGCCTATGTACCCACAAAGTGCAATATAGGCTCAAAACCTCGTAGTTCGTGGTACAAATAGCAAAGATTGATTGTTTTTGATTGTTTTTAAATGTAAAGACAAGTCGTCAGTTTAAGGAGAAAACTACGACTAGTCACCCACAAGTATAACACAACATTAGCATCACTTAAAGATGGATGATTTACTTGGATTATTAACAAGTCTATCACTCAACATCTAATTGAAAAATGTCAAAGTCTATGGAGAATAGGAGAATTATATCTCAACTATGGAAATGACTCTGTCTAAACTTTATAAAAAGTTTTAAAATGAAAAGTGCACAAAAGCACAAAAAATTTGAATGAGGTTGATCTTTTTTTTAAAGTATTTTTGAAATTTGTCAGAATATGATTAGCATTGATTTACATTTATTAAGAAAAAAAAGTTTGAAAATCACTTCACAAAAAGTCAAGGTTTTATTGTGAAAGCAGTTTTATGTTTGAAAATAAGAAGGTTTTTAAGAGAGGGGGAAGATTTTTGAAAATTTAAGAAGGGGAGAAGATGAAGTGACTAACCTAA